ATTGGTTCTTATTTCTTTTCCCACCCACTGTGAGCTTGCACAGGCTACCACCCAAAATATTACCTTTTAGGGTTTAGGGCTGGCGCCCTCAATTCCCACCTCTGCCATGTCGCCTGCTGCTGCTCTAAGAGAAGGGGAAAATTGACCGGGGGGGCCAGTGGGGGCCACGGGGCGCCAGGGGGGGCCAGGGCCAGAGGCGCCACAAAAACGCCAGAAAAGTTGCGGGGGCCCATTTTGGCCAAATCCCTGGCAGGACCGGCTCGCTGGAGGCTCCGGGGCCCCCTGGCCTGGGGGCCTAGGGTACCCCCCAAAAAGGAAATGCCGGGCGCCACCCAGGTGGCGCAATGGCATTCTTTGTCTTTGTCTTTGTCTTGTCGGGCAGGCGGAGCTAGAGCATTGCTAGCGAACTCCGGGCAAGCCTATCAATCAAAGAGGCAGGAGTGCGGAGGAGGCCTGGGGAGCTAGAGTACTGAAGCTGGGGCAGACTGCACAGGAAGCAACGCCATCGCAGGCGAAGGGTTCCAACACAGACAAGACAGAGATGCACACAGCTCCAACTGAGCCTGAACCGCGCAGCATCTTTCAGAGGGCGGCTAAGGAACAGCAAGTGCATCTAGTCTTGCAGCCACCAATCGGACACATTCTGCTGTAAATATGATCGGTCCATCCAATTGGCGAGTGTGTGCGGATGGTCTTGCGGTGAATATCTGCCGTGCAAACAGGGAGTCGGCAGATGCGGTCTCAATGCAGAAAGACCGCCTGAGTGAACGTGTATAGGTACAGTATTTGAGCAAATGCAACAGTGTCACATCGCGGCAATGGCAGAGGGGACAACGCGGGAGCACCCTAGGTGCAGAGTGGATACCGAGGGGCGCCCAAGGAAAGCGGGCAGTGGCACGGCCCAGGCTCCAAATCTTGTAATCTTGCCATGTATGCTGCGACCACTGGGCAAGCAGCACATGCCTGGGCAATGGCTCAAGGCGGGGCTGGAACTCAATATACGGCCAGTCGGAATCGGCAGTGCGTACCACGAAGGCGGAATTGTCGTACTCAGACAAGGCGGGCTCGACGATGTGCACTTTGTATCTGCTGAGCAAATGTTTGCGGGCACGTGGATCGGAAGAGACAAGATCGAAGCCAGAAGTTTCCAACCATTCAGAGAAACAAGGAATACCACCCAAGTTTTGACGGACTTGATGGACACTGTTGAGCCAATGATCGCCGGTTATATGTCGGGCTGCAGACAGAATAAGGCGAGATGGGCTGCTGGTTTCCAGAGACCAAATACGAGCTTCAAGCATAAGTGCTGCACCAAACATCCTCGTGCCAAGACGGCGCGTTGCCCCACATTCAGCGAGCATGGGGAACTGTGGGCCTTGTGGGAGGCCCTGGCAACCCAAAATTTCACGACACCAGTTTGCCTGCATGGCGTTTAGCTTACTTTCGGCCCCAGCGGCGCCAATGCAAAGAGCTAAGCCATAGAACCCAACAGCCTCTGGGCCTTGATCGACGACAGCGGCCAAAAGCGGCGTGGGCAGGCCTGCATTCATGCCGCATGCCATGTGTTCCTCAAAGCGAGAGTTCATCCGGGCCAGAATGCTTGCAAGGTGTGAATCCATGGACAGCGCAGCGTCGAAGATGATACCCATATAAGTGTAATGCTGGACGACTGGCACTTGTAATTGCATATAGCGGCAACTGGCCAGGTCAGTTTCTTCTTGTGTAGGGATGTCAATCGCGAGGATGGCTGATTTGGTTTTGCCCAAGTTAAACTTGGGCCCATGTTCCATCGTGTATCTTTCACACGCTTGCCAGAATAGCTGGGATTGCTGCGCCGAGGTGGTCGGGGCCAATGTGTCGTCAACAATCTGTAAACAAATAACCCGACTAGGAGAACAAGAATCGACACAAGCAACCCTATCGGCATAAAAGGCTAACTTCGCCACCTCACCTGCAAAGCGGCGCACGGAGATCCTTGCATCAAGCGTGTCTTGGGCTAGGCGAGGGCCCAAGGACGCATCATGTTGGCCGTAACTAGTAGGCCTGATGTGTTCCGCATGCTGCAGCACTCGATGTTGCCACGTGCCGGTGGGAATTGCGGCCCCCAGGATGTGTTGCGAGATGTAATCCTTGATAAAAGTAGCGGCTGTGTTGAACTTGTGGACAGAGGCCTTCTTGCCCTGCGCGATGCCATCCACGACAGTGAAAGGTGCAGAAATGGCGTGGTCGAGCCTAATACGGCATTTATCAAGCCGTAGCTCGTCGTCTAGTTGCATCCACGCCTTTCCCACGATGCCGGCATGAAAGGCCCCCAACAGTATATCGCAGGTGGGAATTGTGTCGAAACCCGCCCACAGATCAGCAAAATTGATGATTGTGGGCAGTTGGCAGGCACGTCTCAACTGGCAAAGGAGCAACAGAGCGAGTGCGAAGCTAAGAGTTTCAGCGCGGCCTCCTCCTTGACAAGGGCCCCAAAAGTCTTCTAGCTTCCTTCGATGACGCAAGAGAAATAAGGCATCGCAAAGGGCAGCCATTTCAGTGCCCTGCGAAATAGGGCGGAGGCACTGTAGGGAAACAACAACAGTGGGGCCTTTCTTACGAATGGGATTGTAAACGCGCTCACACCACGAAGATGCACAGATCTGCAGCTGCATCGCGAGGTTGAGAAGTGCACAAATGAATCTGCGAGTGCCCGTGCCTGCGTGCAGCAAGGACGCATAGCAACCACGGAACGTGTATTTAGTTGGGTCCAGACTTTCAATGCAGAGATTGATCTCGTCGACTGTGTAAGGGCACCAGTCATCAATAAGTTCAGCCTCAGTGGTGGGGTCCACAATGGCGCCCGAAGCGCGGATTGCAGAGACCTGGTCTGATGATGATGCAGTATCAGTGACGAGTACCTTCGTGGCTAAAGGGCGAGAAGTGATGTCGTCAAGGATCGCAGTCAATGCCTCACCTAAAGACAAGAGCTCGCCAGTGGATTCATGCTTCAAACGGATCTGTGTGGCGATGTTCGGTCGCAAGAGCTTGGCAAGAAACTTAGCGGCTTCGCTTGGATTGCTGTCACGCAACAGCACATACCTGGCCCAATTTCGTTGTTGCTTGGCTCGAACAGAGGCTGCATCAGAGGAGCACTCAGCCCCAGAAGAAGCAGCAGGTAAGCTGGCTTTAACGGCACCACCTAAATGCCCAGCAGTAACGAATGCAAAAGCCCTAAGCCAATCACAGGCCTCCAGACAGGATCTTCGTTGCTTAAGACTACAACGGGACGGGGAGCAGGCAAGGGAAGGGTCACGGGAAACAGTTTCCACAAATTCCGCGCAAAAGTTCATGCAACTATCAATGATCTGCATAACGTCGTACCACTTCTCGTCGGGGAGCCAGCCGATGCGGCCAATGCAGGGTTTTGGCGCTGTGTGTACGGAAATAGCTAGATCACCCAAGACTAAACTATGGTCGGAATTAAGAAACTGGCCCACAGGAAAAACTTGACAGGATCGCATGCATTCGGCGTCAGTGGTGAGCATCAGGTCAATGGTGGTCCCACTGCAATGTGTTGGTGTATTGACGGGGTTCAGACAAGTGAATCCATAGTTACAAAGCTTGCGCTCAATAGCTGCTTCTTCGCGTGGTTGTCGGCAGTGAAGGCAGCGACAGGATGTATCATGATCAACGGTGCATGTCAGATGCGTATTACTGTCTCCAACAAGGATAAATGCACCAGAGCTAGGTAGGGTTTGCTTCAATGCGCGGGCCTCATTGATGAGGTCACGGAAAAAGGGCTCTTTGTGTCCGGCACCGGGTGGAGCGTAGAAAGCACAAATCAGAATAGGGGAGCTGCTCTGCAATGGTTGGATACGGAGCCAAATACGTCGATCTGAAGTTGAAGCGTGCTCTAGCACCTCAACCCTAGTGGCAACATCCAGGGCAATAAGGACACCAACGGTGTTCCACGATTGATTTCTGGCACCCACATACAGAAAGGGGTAATCCGGGGGCAACTGGAACCCAGCAGGCATACGTGGGCCAGGTAGCGCCAGGAGCTTTATGTTGAGCTCACGACATAACGTGGCACAATTGAGAAGTTTCCACCAAAGGATTTCCCTAGAAAAAAGCCCTGAAAAGCCGGAATTCCCAGGATTAAGGCACCCAAAAGAAAATGAAGGCAGGGAAGCGGCCGGCTGACCACTGCAGTCGTTGTTGCCTTGAAGTCGTACCCCGCCGGTAAATGGCGCGATAATCGCCACACGGCTGTTTTCAGAACGATGCTTTGGCAGGAATTCTTGAGCACTGCGAATGACCCTCTGCAAAAAAGAGCAAGAAATCCGAATCAGACCCCAGAATTTACCACGTAACGCAGACTCGGTAAGTACGTCAGGGCCTCCCTGAGGACGTAGAGCCATCAATGTCTGGCAATCACACACTAGGGCATCAGCAAGAGCAATTTGGTTGCGACGTGTCAGAGTCGCAATATCATCCGTCCAAGAATTTAGCAATGCCGTAAATGGGCCAATCCATGGAGAAGAAGGGCTCGCAGAACTCATGATGACAAATGCTGCGGTCCGAATACCAATACAACTACAGACACAGACAAGGAAGGAGCAAACGACATCACACACGCTCTACACATGCAATGGTGTCATGTGCCTGGTCAATCAGCGTCACGGCGTGGTCTTTTCCCGAGTGGGGCTTTGTAGAATCTGGGCCAGGAGCAATACATCAAATCCGCCCCATCCACATGTGAAACATATGGTAATATGGGAGCAATCGCTTGCATTCTAGGGGCTGAATTCGACCACTCTCCAATAGCTCCACCCATTGTCCATCCAAGAAATGGTGTCAATCTCTGCCGGGTATCTTCTTGGGCCCTAGAAAAAGGGTGGGTACGGCCTAAGCAGGCCGGGTGGGTTTAGGGTTTAGGGTTTAGGGTTTAGGGTTTACGGTTTAGGGTTTAGGCTAAAGTCGAAGGTTAGAAGCATGGGCCCCTACCCAAACCCCCAAAAGGATCTAAAAAATAGATCCCCTAAGGGGGGGGTTCCTATAAAGTACCCTTTAGTAGTTAGGGTCCCTAATTAGGGGATCCATTTTTTACATCCTTTTGGGGGTCTGGGGTCCCTTAGTGATACAAAAAAGTATATAGTAGGTATATAAGGGTCCCCGGGTTAAGGGCCCATACTAGGGGCCGATGGTTTCAACCTGAGATAAATGTTGAGGGTTCACTCAACGTCTAGCGCAAATCGCTTTGGGGTTCACAGGCTTGTGGCGTTCAAAGTCTGTGGCTTGGGGTGGCTTCGAGGATCCGGGATTCTTGGCTTTCGGGTTGTAGGCTTTTCGGTTCACGACTGTTCACTTCCCAGACCCCCTAAAAGGATCTAAAGAATAGATCCCCAAACTAGGGACCCTAACTACCAAAGGGTACTTCACAGGAACCCCCCTTAGGGGATGTGTTTTTTAGATCCTTTTGGGGGTTTGGGTTTAAGTTGGTTTAAGACTTATGTCTTCCTGAGCTCGCTATGGATAGCTGCAAAGCTTAGCTGGACTGGGAACGGAAAATGGCACCAAAGGAAGGACGTCCAACGCGGATGGGTTCCGTTGTCGTGTGCGGACGCTGCCAAGCCACATGCTACCTAAAGCTTCCCAGAAAACCCAATACCCCTTCCCAGACCCCCAAAAGGATCTAAACAATAGATCCCCTAATTAGGGACCCTAACTACTAAAGGGTACTTTATAGGAACCCCCTTAGGGGATCTATTTTTTAGATCCTTTTGGGGGTTTGGGTTAATTAAGGAATATACCTTAAATCATAATATGAAGGCCCCTATGATTTAAGGTATATTCCTTAATTAAGGGGTATTGGGTTTTCTGGGCTTCCCGCGCAAATCTAGAACCCCGAGATCCTGAGGCCACGAAGCCTCTAGTCCAGAACACCCCAAACCTAAACCCCTTCCCAAAACCCCAAAAGGATCTAAAGAATAGATCCCCTAAGGGGGGTTCCTATAAAGTACCCTTTAGTAGTTAGGGTCCCTAACTAGGGGATCTAGTTTTTAGATCCTTGGGGGTCTGGGTTGACAAACCAAAACTCCTAAACCGTACCAGGACTTCACCCACAAGACGAGGCTATCACACCGGGGACGATTTTGGAGCCCTCGACCCTCGAAGAGTCACAAGCCCCACAGCAATGGAAACCTGGCTCCTCCGAAGAGCTGAACAAGAAACCCTCCAATCAGAGACCCAGAAAACCCAACTGTAAATCCTACACTCTCAGCCCCAAAGAGACCCTGAAGCCCGAAATCCTCACACCCAAGCGCCCGGAGTACCTCCGCCGGCTTCAGGAAGCAGAAGAAATGGCGCCATCGCGTCGGCCACTTCAGCAGCTCCTCAACCCAGACCCCCAAAAGGATCTAAAAAATAGATCCCCTAATTAGGGACCCTAACTACTAAAGGGTACTTTATAGGAACCCCCCTTAGGGGATCTATTCTTTAGATCCTTTTGGGGGTTTGGGAACCGGGGTTCACGGACTGCTCAGGGTTTCTTAGAGCTGATGCTTCCCTAAACCCTAAACCCTAAACCCTAAACCCTAAACCCTAAACCCTAAACCCTAAACCCCAAACTCTAGTCTGGGGTTGGCCTAGGCCCAGGCCAAGGGTTGCGGGTAGAGAGTTTCAGGTTAACTTCTAGGCCTCAGGTTTTGGCATTGAAACTTTATGCTTAGTTTTCTAAATGAGGGTCCCTTTTGAGGGTCCTTTTTAAAAGGGTTTAGGGTTTAGGGTTTAGTGATTTGGATATTTCTCTAAATTAGGGTCCCTTTTAGGGTCCTTTTTACAAGGGTGCCGTACTATATTGGGGACCTAAAAAGGCACCCTAATTTAGAGAACTACCCTTATGCTTATCTCTAAGGACTTTAGGAGGGACCCCTGATAGGGACCCTTAATCCCATGACCTTAAATAACCATTGTATAGTCCTTATATACCCCTCATATAGCCAAGTAGTCTCCATATTCACCCCAACAACCTTAAGGGTCCCGATTGACAGGGTTTGGGGCTCAGGTCTGGTGTCGCAGCAGTGAAGAAATTGATAAGCCAGGTCCCTACCCTGGGCCCTAAACCCTAAACCCCTAAACCCTAAACCCCTCAACCCCTAAACCCTGAACCCTAAACCCTAAACCCTCAACCCCTAAACCCCTAAACCCCTAAGCCCTAGGTCCTCAACCTAAACCCTGAACTCCAAGACTGAGGGTCCAGTGACAGCACGCCATCGGACGTCCTTCTTCTTCCGAGCTCCTGCCTTTAGAGTCTTCGAGCGAACCCTACCTTCAAACAAGTGTAAGCCTATCGGTTTAGAGTTTAGGGTTTAGGGTTTAGGTTTTAGGTAAGCCCTAAACCCTAAACCCCTAAACCCTAAACCCTATACCCTATACTGCGAACTCTACCTTCCAAAAAGTGTAAGCCGATCCACGCCCAGAAATGTCCAGAGATGAGTTCAAGGCTCAAGTCCGCCGAAATCCGAACCCAGGTTCCCTTCCTTGAAACCCTAAACCCAGAGACTCCAATACCCCTTAATTAAGGTTTAAGGTTTAGGGTTTAGGGTTTAGGGTTTAGGGTTTAGGGTTTAGGGTTTAGGGTTTAGGGTTCCCAGAGACTCCAATACCCCTTAATTGAGGAATATATACCTTAGCTTATAGTAGGATCCCTAATATGATTGAAGGTATATTCCTTAATTAACGGGTATATTGGAGTCCCTGGGAATCCTAAACCTCGACACCCCAAATCCCAATTCCCGCATCGCTCATCCTAAACTTCGAAACCTTACACCCCACATGCCAAGCCCGAAGCCACCCAACCCGTAGCCCCAGTCCTGAACCCATTAATACCGTTACCCTTACGAACCACTTACGAACCATCAACACCCACAAAACCCCATAAAACCCCCCTTAAAACGAGCCCTTTAAAGGAACCAAGACCACAACCAGACCCAGAATAAACACAATAACTTTCCTGGTAGAAGTTGTCGCAAACGGCATGCTTCGGGAAGATGGCGACCTGCTCTGGTTTGGGCGGCTTCAGGGTAAGGGAGATTGCAAGGGTTCAGGACTGATGAAGCGGACGAAGATGATGATGACGGTGACGGTGATGATGATCATGATGATGGTGGTGATGATGGTGGTGATGCTGATGATGATGATGATGATGAAGAAGAAGAAGACCCATCATCAACGTTTTCGTTTGCAGCAGCGCCAGCGGAAGCAGCAGCGGCAGCAGCAGCAGCAGCAGCACCACCACCACCACCACCACCACCATCACCGCTGCCGTCATCAAAAGCATGGTCATCACAGCAATCGCTGTCTTGGCTTCCTGCTCAAACGTGTCACCACGGTAGACCTAGTAACCGTACTACTTGCGGCGACGAGGATTCTGAATACCATAGGTGCGCAGGACGAACGAGAGCAGGTGGTGAATGGCATCTGGTACTTTTCTTTCTCTCATTATTGTACCGCCCAGTGCTTGCTCATCACTACGGCCCATGGTACGGGCAACTACTCAAAGCTATCATGGTGCCAATCTGTGTAGTAAGACTTTTGCTTCCCATTCTGCCTACAGCTGCGGGTCTTGCAGTTCATTTTAGCACTCCCACCAACACCATTCATGGCTTTTCAGATCACTGCTGCTATACCCGTCTGATCGCTCGGGGGTATTACCGATGGTAATGTGGCTATTAGTTTGACTGTTAATTCACCTGCTGCAGCTCCTCCCTCTCCTTCTACTTCTAGCTGCACTTCTCAATCTGCTTCTGCTTCTGCTACTACCACTACTGCTACTGCTACTGCTACTGCTGCTGACTGCTACTGCTACTGCTACTGCGACTGGTGCTGACTCTGCTACTGCTACTGCTCCTGCTGCTACGCTACTACTACTACTACTACTACTACTACTACTACTACTTGTACTACTCCTACTACTCCTACCACGCCTACTACTTCTGCTTCTACTTCTGCTTCTACTTCTACTACTACTACTACTACTACTACTACTACTACTGCTGCTGCTGCTGCTGCTGCTGCTGCTGCTGCTACTACTGTTACTACTGCTACTACTGCTACTACTGCTACTACTACTACTACTACTACTACTACTACTACTACTACTACTACTTGTACTACTCCTACTACTCCTACCACGCCTACTACTTCTGCTTCTACTTC